CAAGAGCCAAGTGAATGAATGGGTGAAGAAGAGGTTTGTCAGTTGATAGAAACAATGGGAAGTTCCACTTAGTCAAGACGACCACACTTAAAAATCAGTACATAGAAAACCTGTGTGGGTCAAATAAAATGTGTCTTCAGCAGTTTGGGATGGGAGATGAAGGTGTCAAACCTTGGACTAGTTCTGGACTGTTCTCTAAAAATTCAGGAAGCATTACTGATTTGGAGTCTTGGAGCAAGATTTTACACGTACTTTACATTAAATTGTGACCTCTAATGACCAAACAAATTCTTTTTTTTTTTTTTTTTTAGATTGGTATTGACATAGCACTGATTTATAGATGATACAGGGTTTTTATTTAAAGCTTACAGCAGCTAATACATTGCATTTATGTAGCTGGCCAAATCAAAATATTTTACATACTATACACTAGGTTATTATAATTTGCAAGTATAATGTAACCTTTCCCCCCATTCCCACTGGCATTTCTCTTGCTCTCTTGCAAACCTTTCTAGAATGCTTAGGTACTTGGCTTGAAAACTATTGTTCTTTCCCAGACAACTGGCAGTCAAAATTTCTCCATGAGTGATATTTTAGTCATTCTGAAGGACATTTGGCCAATTAAAGGTCATTCAGTTGACTAATACTAAATTAAAAGCATTTTTAGAAATATTTAATTGCTCTCCACTTCCCTCTAAATCACCTAGATATTTGCTACTGTGATGGAGTCCTAGACCAGAAGCATCAGTAAACCTTGGGATCTTGGTAAAAATGCAGAATCTCCAGCCCCACACTAGACCTACCAAATCCAAATCTACATTTTCACAAGAACCCCCGGTGATTTGTGTGCACAATAAATTTTAAGAAGCATGGCTAGGGTTATCTATACTGAGATCAGAACATGATGTTTTTTATTGCAGAACTGCATGAAATCTATAGCACAACACTTTATGTCTTCATCTTCCAAAACCTGTTGAGGTCTCAGAAGACATGAAGGTAGGATCCTCAAATGCTGATGTTTTCATAGCAATATACTAGAAAGATCCTTGGGCATAGAACTAGAAATTCAGGTCTGGAAACAAAGATCTGCTATTTACTAACTTAGCATAAACAAATAAATTCCAAGACTACATTTGTTAATCCTTAATAATGTCTACTTTACAGGGTTTTGAAATATCAAATGTAAAATGAGTATAAGTACAGAAAACATAATATTATAAATAAACGTGAGTTGAAGAGAACATGACTGCAGGTGTGACCTGGTCAGTATCTGGCCAGAAAGTTCATAGAATATGCTTATGTCAGAACACAACATCACTTGTCCAGCTACCCAAATCCTTCCCTGGCTATAGGCTGTGTGAAATATAAATGTATAGCCGAAAGGATCATTGGATCTGTGGTCAATTGGATAATGCTACTCTCACCAAGCCATTCAGATTTAATTAAATTCATTAACCTTATTTAGTTAAAATAAAGTAGAGGAAAGACTATTCGAAAGAGCTACTGAGTTTAGGTGCTTGGTATAAAACAATTTGTTGCATCTGTAAGGTTTTTTTTTTACACATGGACATAAACCAAAGGTTCTCAAAATTTAGTACAAGATTCAATGGAGGAGCTTGATAAAAATAGATATTTTTCCTCCCTGAATTGCCAGAGATTCTTATATGCTAGGTCTAAGATATGGTGGGAACATAAATTTTTAAGAAGCTTCACAGTTGATTTTGGTGCTGACAAGCTGCAAACTATTCTTTGTGAAAAATTGTCCTAAGCCAATAAAATGAAATTGAAGGATAATTCCTTTAGTTTATCAATATCAAACACAATAATAATAATTGAAATAATCATAGCTTTATTCTGTCTTTACAGGATCTCTCTGTGATAGGTAATATGAGTACCAGTATTTTACCAATAAACAAGCTAGAAGTTTAGGTGTTACATTTGCTCATCCAGGTAGAAAATGGCAGAATCAGAATTTGGATCCAGATCTGTGTGATTCTAGAGCACAGGTTGTAAATCACTATTTTCTTTTTTTTTAATGTTTTATTTATTTCTAGGAGAGAGAGAGAGAGACAGCGTGAGCAGGGGAGGGTCAGAGAGAGAGGGAGTCGCAGACTGAAACAGGCTCCAGGCTCTGAGCTGGCAGTTAGCAAAGAGCCCGACGCTGGGCTCGAACCCTCGAACTGAGAGATCATGACCTAAGCGAAAGTCGGACGCTTAACTGACTAAGCCATCCAGGTGCCCCAGTAAATCACTATTTTCAAAGACACAGAGTTCCTACCATCCCTCTAGGTAATAAGAAATGATCAATAAGACCTGGTCCCCTTTGTAAGAGGGGTTTGGAGGATACATGAAATGAACTAAACTTCTCAGACATTTCCTCCTCATTATTGGAGATTCATTTGGGGATGGGGTTTGAGGGATAGAAGATAAGTAAGGTATAGAGGAAAGGACAGCTTGCATGAATATATAATTCCAGACAATAATATAATACTTTCTGGAGTTCCATGTGCCAATTTAGAATGTCCTGCTCAGTAATTCTACCTGGAAGCCCATGGGAAACTGTTATGTGCCAGTCTGTCCTGTGCCCATGAACTTCCTGCTTCTCCTCACCAGGCCTATTTTATTTCAGTGGTTTTCCATGTTAGTTAATGGCACCTCTGTCCACCTGGATATCTAATTCAGAAAGCCAGAGTCATTCTAATTGCTAGTTGCATCTCAGCATATATAGTAATCAGATACTTTGACCAATTGATGCCCTTTCCAGATATTTTTCTGATCTATCTGCCTTCTCCATCCACTACCCCACTGTTTAGTGCCTGTGTTACAACTTGTTTGGACTCTTCTCTTCTCAAGTGTCTGCAATCACTCTCATGCCACCCGTCTAAATCAGCAGGATGGCAGTCAAACTGTTCTTTTAAAATGAACATATCTATCTCATATATGGGAAATTCTTAATCATCTAGAGAAAAGAATAACAATCTCTTAGCTGAGGAGGAAGTATTTGTGCTTGTATATGCACAAAATACCTCTGGAAGGAAGGAGCTAACATTGGTTGCCTGTAAGAAGAACTGGGTAGTTAGTACATAGGGCCAGGAGGGAAACTCCACTACCTTACATCATTTTTGTAATTTTTAAATTTTGAACCATGTAAACATGTCAAAAATCTTAAAAAGAAATAAAAATCCCTTAGCTGGGTGAAATAGCTTGATGTCAGAGAAGTAAAAAAGAAATAAGAAATACAAGCAGTAAAAAACAAGGAAGAAAGGAAAGAAGAGAAAGATTGGATAAGTGAGAATAGAAAATGCTGATAAATGTATCTGCAGGCTGAGTATACTGCAGGTTTATTTTTAATGCTTAATTAAATGCTTTATAACAAAAATTTAAAGATAAATATAAATCCCAGCTTAACCTACAAGGCACTTATGATTTGTCCTTTGTATGTCTTTCTATCATCTGTCCCAGACCCTCTCCATGCTGCCTTCTTTCTCTCCAGGATGAAGGGCTTATGCATCTTTGAACAAAACCTCTTTCTTTCTCATCTCCATGTTTTTGCATATGCCGATTCTTTTGTTGGTAATGTCTTCCATGCATATTCTTCCATATTCTTGGGATTTAAGCTCCACACCACTTCTGCAGAGAAGCTTTTCCTGGGATTCTCCTCACCTCTTCCAAGCAGAGTTATGCCCACCCTTCTCTAAGCTTCCACATATTCAGCACTGGCTTCTATTTTAGTTCTTATCGTATGGTGGGAATCACGACACCTCTTAGAACCCAGCAACCAAGGTGCCTTTTGTAGGTTCTTGTGCTTTACAGGACTCTATGGGCCCTCTTCTGGCTACATCCTGCCCTAGGTCTGAGAGTCTGTGGGGATGACAGGGTGTGGCCAACTAAAATGTTTTTTACTCTCTTACACTCCAAGTCTTAGGACTGTGACTTTTTTTCCTCCAGACAGTTCTTTCTCTGCTCCCAGTGGATGCTGAACTCAAGAGGTGAGCAAGGTCAACAAGTGGCTGTTGGACAGATGGGTATAAAACTTGAGCAAGCAGTCTGATGTCCATATTTATACAAAGAAGGTCCCTTTCAGTGTTTGACAGAGCTAGGAGTGGAAGCGGTGCTATGATGGTCTGAAGGAGGCCTTTATCTGTACCCTTGCAAAAAAGTAGTGGTGCACTTGGCTTTAATTATTTGTGTTTTATATCTGGCTCCTCTTTAATTACTTTTCATTTTATACCTGTAAACTGAGTCTTCGTAGGACAGGAACTATTTTCTATTAATCTCTGAATCCCCAGTACTTTGGGCAATACCTAGTGTGATCCCATGGTTGGGATTTAATAAATTATAGTTGAATGAATAAATGAAGACAAATGATTCTGAAAAATTATGATGACAATTTCTTCCACTAATTCTGCCAATCCCAAAACACCATATTTTGAAGAACTAATTAATAGTAGTATTAGTTATTAATTTTATAAACTGGTACACACACACACACACACACACACACCATTTTATCCTCACACGAACTCTATGAGATAAGTACTATGTTCAACTCACCTTATGGAAGTGAAAACTCATGAAGAGTAAGTTTAAGTAAACCAAAATTTACACAAATGGTAAGAGGTGAAACTCAGATTGAAACCCAGAAACTCTGTCTTTGCATCTTGAAGACACTAAATTGGTCAAGTTGTGGTAAGACTGCATGAATTGCAAGGCATATCCTTGTCTATTTGTCCCTGTTCTTTCTAGCTTGATTTCCAGGATATGAAGCTGGTCATCCTTCTGGAAGCTGATGATCACCAGTATAAAAGCTTAAGAGGAAAAACTTGGTTTTCCAAAAAGCAGCAAGTTTTAATTTCAGGAGAAGTAAACTGTAGCTTAGATGTGCCAAAACTATTTAAGAATATAAGGATTTTGTTGTTTCTGCTGTTACTATTGGGTCTTTTTTCTCTACATTCTATTTTATCTACAAGAGAGGGGAGCTTTAGAAAAGTAAAAAATACTTGCCTTCAGGAGTAGGTGATGCTGGAGTGGGTCTGGAAGCTTGCTCTGTTGGTAATGGAGGTGGTATAGCTGGGCTTTGTCCTGTGCACACAATGCAGGAGTAGGTATTGAAAAAAAAGGATTAACAAATTTAATATCCTTGACTAAAATAGCTAGATCTATCCCCAACATGCATAATTCATAATCTGAAGTATAAATTCATATTATTATGCAATAAGAAAATTGTTATTAGGTGAGATCTTTAAGTGGATACATACACAGGTTCGGTTATCTTCAGAGCTATTTCTGAATATATTACTTTTCATAGATGTATATACAATGTTAAATATATCTACTGGACTTCATTAATGGAAAATCTACACAAAAATAAAGCAATTTATTTTCAATATGCATTTTAAATTATGGAAACTAACATCACAGAAGCTGAGAGGAGTCCTAATATAGAGAAAAATCACCATTTTTTCCATTTAACTAAAAATTGTCAAATGATATAATAAGGCAATAAAAGAAGGTTAAAATTCATGGGCCTTTTGATATTGAACAGGTACATTTTCTCCTGCCAAAGTAAATGACCTGCAGTTAAGTAAATAATGGGCCAAAGGGAAAATATATTCAGTTTTATAGAGGCTTGAAAGGCTCCCTCAAGTCTCTGGGCTTATTATGAACTGTATAAAAACCCACAATCGTTTCTGAATGCTTCCTTATCCCAAGTGATTTCTTTAATTAACCAAAACCATCCACGCCATGAACTGTAAACATTAACTAACATAGGATCCCATATGAAATGCTTGCAAAATGTTTTATCATTAATTTTCATTCCACAAATTTCTGCTGTGTGTTTCTTTTAAATCCAGGAATTGGTATGGGCATAGGAACCTTCTAAAATCTCACTGACAACTAGATATTATCGAATGTCAGCAGACCTACCTGCTTACTGGAAGTTTTCCTTTTTTAGAATTTGTCAAAATTAGTTTGCTGTGGTGAAGTGTGGATTAGCAAGGAGAGCAACTGGAGTGGCACACACACTACCTTCCATGATGGTGAGAAGGGAGGGGTCCCAGACCCACATGCCAAACAGAGGTTAGTCGCCTTCATTATAGGATTCCCTTATAGTTGTTAGACCCATCTAGGTTGATTCTTGAGCATATTCAAGCATGCATAAAAGCACATTGTTTCATGACATTCAGGCCATATACCTAGAAAAGTATCGATCCATATTATTATTAATTTTGTTTTCCTCATGAAAGCAAAAATTTGATAGAAACATATGGCAACATAACGTGATAGTTCCTCTTTCGGTGTACAAAGAAAAGATGAGCCTGGGCACTCTAAGAAAAGTTTGATCTCCATTATTTTTTCCTAGCTAACATTTATATACTGCTTAGTCTATGCTTAGAACAATCCCAATCAATTTTGATACATTAAGTCATTTAATTTTCATGAGATCCTTAGGACGTACGTGTATTTTCATTTTACAATTTAAAACCTAAAGTGAACAGGCTTTCAAGACGTTCAGCTCCTATGAAATGGAGCTGAATTTCCATGTAAGCTCCAGATTTGCGGTGCTTTACAGCCCCTTTCAGGCCAGAAAAGGGTCATCTATAAGGGGGTCCATAACTGTAAGTGGGAAACTCATTCTCTATCTACTTTGTAAATCAAAAGGATGTATACTTGTAAATATCCATTCCCAAATCTTTCTAGAGAGCTGTTCTTGAAGAAAATATTTCTAAAGTAGGCTGATGTTTTGTAGCTTTTAAATCTAGGGAGAATCTAGATTTAGGAAGGAGTCAGTTAAATGATTACAATTTAAAGTACAAGTGGCCATGAATATAAATCAATTTGTTTCTAAATACTAAGGGTTTCAGAAATAGCTTCATAGAATGATGCCTAATCAATCTTTTCATGGGTCATACTTTCATTAACAGTGGTGATGTAAAACCTCAATTTTTTAAAGTCTTGATAAGCTTTTTAGAAATTTATTTCAAAAATATATGAAATTCTTTCCAGAGGAATTATTCATGATTTATACTCCAAGATATTTTTAGATTTTCCTGGAGGAAATATGAAGTCATTACTTTATTTTAAAAACATTTTAGTGAGCCCTTATTATGCACCAATAATACCAAAAACATTAGGGGTGCCTGGGTGGCTCAGATGGTTAGGTGTCCAACTTCGGCTCAGGTCATGGTCTCGCAGTTCATAGGCTCGAGCCCCATGTTGGCTCTATGCTGACAGTTCAGAGCCTGGAGTGTGCTTCAGATTCTGTGTCTCACCCTCTCTCTCTACCCTTCTTCTGCTCGTGCTCTCTCTCTCTCAAAAATAAATAAACATTAAAATATAGTAATAATACCAACAGCATTAAACCCCAACCCTGTCTTCAAAAAGTTCTCAATAGGGGCTCCTGGGTGGCTCAGTCAGTTAAGCGTCCAACTTGGGCTCAGTTCATAATCTCTTGGTTCGTGAGTTTGAGCCCCACATCAGGCTCTGTGCTGACAGCTCAGACCCTGGAGCCTATTTCAGATTCTGTGTCTCCCCCTCCCCCTGTCCCTCCCCTGCTTGTGCTCTATCTCTCTTTCTCAAAAATAAATAAACTTTTCTAAAAGAAGAAGTTCCCAATATACTGACTAAAACAGACTTAGATCACTATAATAGATTGTAATAATACAATGTGATGATGCGAAATAATGTATACAGGGGGCATGTTGCAGAAAGATCCCTGGAGTAGATTAACTGTAAACTGCATTGAAAGACCTAAAATGAGTTTGCTGGGTAAAGAAATCAAGAGAAGAGTTTCCACACAGAGAGAATCCGGTGAAAAAACAGCCATGGATGCCAAAATCTGTAGGACTTCTAAAACAAACAAACTGGTGCCTTCTGTGGCAGAAAGTGCAATATACAGTTTATGTCTGAAATTCTCTACAACTGTAATCAACTTCATCATGCTCCCTAAAATGGGTAACTGCTACATTGTGAGGCAGTGGACACAGTGGGGAAGTAGGATCACCAAAAAAAAAAAAAAAAAAAAAAAGAAAATTGAGGATGCTTCCAGCTATGTCAGTTCTTGGCAAAATACAAAAAAAAAAAAAAAAAAAAAAAAAAAAAAAAAAAAAAAAAAAAAAAAAAAAAGAGAGAGAGAGATTGAGAAAAAGCTAGATGTCTTCCTACCTTCAGAGTGACAGTTATAAGATGTCCTGGCAGGGGAATTATCAGCTCGGAACAAATTTCTGTGGTACTAGGGAGCAGCAAAACAAATCAGATACGTCATACTAGAGCATGACACGTGACTTCAGGACTGACATGAAGGGAAATCTTTATTTTCAAAAAATGTCAGAATACTGTTGAAATCAGAGACCATTTTATTATTTTATTAGTTTAAAAAATGTTTGTTTATTTATTTTGAGAGAGATAAAGTGAGAGTGTGTGTTGGGGGAGGGAGGGGGGAGGAGGACCAGAGAGAGAGAGGAAAGGGAGAATCCCAAGCAGGATCCACCTTATTAGTGTGGAGCCCTCCTGGGTGGGGGGACCTCCACCTCACCAACCATGAGATCGCGACTTCAGCCAAAGTCAAGAGATAGATGCTTAACTGACTGAGCTACCCAAGAACTTCCAAATTTTAAATATGAACAAATACAGGGGTGCCTGGGTGGCTCAGTCAGTTAAGTGACCCACTCTTGATTTCAGCTCGGGTCATGAGCTCACAGTTGGTGAAATGGTTCTCCACTTTGGGTTGTGTGTTGACAGTGTGGAGCCTGCTTGAGATTCTCTTTTGATTTCTCTCTTTCTTTCTCTTTCTCTCTCCCCCCTCTGCCCTTCCCCCATTCCTGCTCCCTCTCTCAAAATACACAAAGTTTTAAAAAGTGAATAAATATAATATCATATAATAAATTTTGCTAATATAATGTCATATTAATAATAGAATTTTATAGTAAAAACAGTGTTGCTTAGTGTAAAGACTATATGCTGAGAATCAAATGGTGAGTGTTCATATATGTGAGAGTTTCAGCATCATCCTTTACAAACTGGGTAAACTTGAGAATCTCATGAAGTATCCAAGCCTCAGTTCAGGGCCTGTATAAAGTGAGGAAAGTTTTTAGGACTGTTATGGGGATTAAGAGATAAAGCATCTCACACATAGTAAATACTTAAAACACCAATTTTTTTCAATAATGAATTTACAATTTATATCCCATCTAATTACACAAGAGAACTTGAAACAGACTTTGAAGTAAGTAAACAAAGACATAGCAACAGATAAAATTAAACATGACAGAAATAGCAGAATTCATTTACAAGAAAGAAGCTTATAATTTTATTAGGAATATATTCCTTCAGAATTCCCGAGGATTGTTTCTCTCTAAAGGAACAATTTAGGTTGTTGAAATTTATGTTGGAACTCTAAAAGTGCCCTTCAGTTTGCAAGCTATTATCTGAAAATCTCTCTGACATTCAAACATAGTGAATTGACTTTATTTTTGTTCCTTGAGTGATTTGGGCTGGCTTATTTCCATAATACCTGAATGGCATGTTTGTAAGCTGCCAATATTTTATTGTTCCTAGTTTTTTCTCACACAAGTCAATTTGATTGTTTCTGGTTTAGTTAAATTCCACTGGGGATAGTAGACAGTGTGTATTCCTTCTAATGATCTAAGTTACCAATGTTTTCTTTATACTGCTAGAAATGATGAATGGAATTACTCAGAATCTCAAGTCAAGTAGGAGGCTATGAGCTGAATTCAGATCACATGAAGTAAAAAAACAATTCACTATACTAAAATGTAATTTGTATGGTTTCTTTATCAAAGGAGATTCCCTGTTTCTACATTTCTTACAACTGAAGGCTATCCCCTAAATCTTGAAACAAATGCTGAGGAGATGTTTTCCTCTAATGCCTGACAGATAGTTAATTCCCTAGGCCTCTATTGCATTCTTCTGAAGATACTAAGTATATTCAGAAGATCATAAATTCTTTGAAAGGCTTCTGGACTGCCAACAATGAATGGAGGTAGATTCTGAGATGGCGATGGTGTGATTCCACTGAATGACCATTGAGTTAAAGTTCATTTACATTAAAAAATGCAATG